AACATGACAGAATCTTAATCAATTTGGACAAAATAATAGTTAAATCCAATACAAAACAGCAATCTTTATTTGGAGTATTACTAACGTGGAATTTACATTACTTAAGTAGCCTCGAAGTGTATATCTAACGAGTTAACGGTTTGCATTCATCCGTTCCCAACTAGTACCTTTCAGTTTCAAAAAATGTTGAGTGAGTTCAACATCGCTCCCTCTTGTGGAATATTGCTTAAATGGTGTCTATTTGGTTTGGTTTCATCCTGAAACACCACCACATGAACAACAAAAATCGGTTAATAAACAGCATTTGGAAAAAAAAATGATGATGCACAAGATTCTTCATGCTAATTATTCAATTAATCAGTGGAATGATAAATAGAATAATCAATTCAATAATGACAGTCCTACTTGTGACATCATAAAATTCAACTAATTATTGTCCATGGCTTCACTAGCAGTACTAGTAGCGCACAGATATCAACTAGTGCACAGTTTTTGCCTCACTACCGGTATGTAACGTAGCTGTCATACTACTCATATGCCAGCGTCGTCCTATTGTGTGCAGTAATGTGTGCCGTAATGTTTTAGTGGAAGGCAGTAGTGAAAAAAACATGACTGGTAAGTAAAAATTCTGTGCCCCTGAGTCATTCTACCCGAGTGCTGAATTATTCCTATTGTTGTTCCTCATCAAATGTTGATAAAATCCTGCCCAAAGACAGGAGACATCATAGATTTTGACAAGATGCTAGTTAAAGGATTATGATTTGAGCACCGTATGTTCTAAGGGAATTATCACCCCTCTTAGAAAACCGATGGTCTGCTGGCAGTTGTCTCGCAAGTGACAGACTGGATGGACACACTCTTGATGAGTGTGTACCCCGTACAGTCATGGAAGGCTTCCATTTGTCCACCATTAAGATTCAGTGTCCATTTATTCATTTGATCAACCAGGGTCACAATAACCAGTTCAGCATGAGAAACAATGTGCGACTGGAAGGAGTGGAGGGGGTTGAGGCAGGATAATCTCTTGGATTGGGAGACCCTCTGGGATTAAAACCGGGCTGCTGGTGTTTCGTGTCATTTGGACACAGATGGGAGGGAGGAGCAAGGGGGTGACACAGAAATGGGGCAATAAAAAAAATGGGTGGAGACAGGAAGACTCAACGGTGTGATGACAACAGCATTTTATTGTGCGAGTGCTGAGAGTGTCAAATTTGCAGTAACATTCTTGTTTTTTCGTTTTGTGTTTTTGGGGGGGGTGGTTGCTTTGTCATTTCTTAATGTATTCAAACAACAGTCAAATGATTCAAAACCTTGTCCGTCTGACTATTTGATTGTTAAATTGTGACTGTTGCTTGCTCGAATCAGCTTCGTTTGCTGCGACTTGTTGGTCACTCCGCCAATGTTCACAATTCAAGTGGGATAATTTTTTTTTTTTTAATGAGGGATTATTAAATATATTATTGTTTCTGTTCTTATTTGCTACCACAAAAATTTAATAGTTCAGTCCAAATATGTGCCACCCGGCAAGTGTTTCAAATTTATTGGGTCATGTTTGCAAAACTCTTACTGAAACAAACCAAAGGACAGTGAATATGATACCAACAGTCTGAGTCACCGCTGCACTTTGCATTTGCCAAAATCAGGCTTGTCCAAACATTTTTTTTCTATGACCCGCACAAAGAAAAATAGAATGATGCAAAGGCTTCTGAAATTCTTCCCCTTTAATTTATTGAACAGGCTAAAACCAATCCATCTTTGTAGGTCAAATACTTTGCAAGTATGCATTGTGGATGGCTCTCCGCATTTAGATTCAAGGTAAGAGCAATCTGTAAACTACTCAGCTGACACTGACACAGAGTGGAACAAGCCATCGCGATTCATTCGAACTGGTTTTCATCTTCATTTCTCCTGACTTGTCACCCAGTGTCGAAAATAATCAGTTCAAAGCAGGCAAACAGCACGAATGTACATTTTAATACTATATGCTGCAGGCTATAAACGAGCAGCGCGCCACAGGTGACTTTTAGCCAGAGTTTACATACTCCTAGCCTATGGTAACAAACTGTCATCTTTTGGGGGGGAAATGTAACGAATTACTGGAAAATGAAAGAGCGATTTTTGGCCGTACGTACAGTTGAAATCCTGTGGTGTCCTTCTAATGCAACTCACAGCTGTATTTACAAGTGACCTGGCTATTTCTCTCATGTTGATGAGTCTCTCGGCATTCACACACAACCTCTGAACAAGTTACATGCATTTTCTTGTCTTTTATTAGCAATGCCAAAAACAAAATGTAGGTCCTCCTGAAAATATTAAAAAAAATATTTTGATTTCTGTTGGCCTTCATGAAAGCAGAATGATTACTCAGGTCAACAATTTTTACTATTTTTTTTTTAAAAGCAAAGATCTAAGTAAACTCATCTACACTTGTAGATGATTTTTTTTTTTTGCACTGATTCCAAATCTGCCCTCGTTTTTTTCCTCTTGCACGTCAGGTTTTCATAATAATAACATAAGAACAAGGTGAATAATGTACTTGTACTGCTATGGCAATACTCTGCATGCACGCCTCGACAACTACATGCTACGAGGAGTACTCGGTGACTTGGTGTGTCAAATTCAATCAATTCATCGATCATCAAATTAATTGACAACTGTTTTGAGAATTGATTAATAATTAAGACCTACTGTTTAATTTCAAATTATCAAAATACTTTGACTTGAGCCACACACAAGTGAATATTTTGATTTCTGTTGGCCTTCATGAAAGCAGAATGATTACTCAGGTCAACAATTTTTACTATTTTTTTTTTAAATCAGAGATGCAAGTAAACTCGTCTACACTTGTAGATGCTTTTTTTTTTTTTGCACTGATTCCAAATCTGCCCTCGTTTTTTTCCTCTTGCACGTCAGGCTTTCATAATAATAAAATAAGAACAAGGTGAATAATCCGACGGCAAATTGTCACCGTAGCAGTCCTTATAGAGTCCACTGATGGTAACGCACAGCAGGTGTGGTGCTGGAGGGAAACGCCCACCATCCCAGCCGTAAAATGAAAAAAAAAAACCACAAACAAACAAACAAACAGAAACATGACAGAATCTTAATCAATTTGGACAAAATAATAGTTAAATCCAATACAAAACAGCAATCTTTATTTGGAGTATTACTAACGTGGAATTTACATTACTTAAGTAGCCTCGAAGTGTATATCTAACGAGTTAACGCTTTGCATTCATCGTTCCCAACTAGTAGCTCTCAGTTTCAAAAAATGTTGAGTGAGTTCAACATCGCTCCCTCTTGTGGAATATTGCTTAAATGGTGTCTATTTGGTTTGGTTTCATCCTGAAACACCACCACATGAACAACAAAAAACGGTTAATAAACAGCATTTGGGAAAAAAAAATGATGATGCACAAGATTCTTCATGCTAATTATTCAATTAATCAGTGGAATGATAAATAGAATAATCAATTCAATAATGACAGTCCTACTTGTGACATCATAAAATTCAACTAATTATTGTCCATGGCTTCACTAGCAGTACTAGTAGCGCACAGATATCAACTAGTGCACAGTTTTTGCCTCACTACCGGTATGTAACGTAGCTGTCATACTACTCATATGCCAGCGTCGTCCTATTGTGTGCAGTAATGTGTGCCGTAATGTTTTAGTGGAAGGCAGTAGTGAAAAAAACATGACTGGTAAGTAAAAATTCTGTGCCCCTGAGTCATTCTACCCGAGTGCTGAATTATTCCTATTGTTGTTCCTCATCAAATGTTGATAAAATCCTGCCCAAAGACAGGAGACATCATAGATTTTGACAAGATGCTAGTTAAAGGATTATGATTTGAGCACCGTATGTTCTAAGGGAATTATCACCCCTCTTAGAAAACCGATGGTCTGCTGGCAGTTGTCTCGCAAGTGACAGACTGGATGGACACACTCTTGATGAGTGTGTACCCCGTACAGTCATGGAAGGCTTCCATTTGTCCACCATTAAGATTCAGTGTCCATTTATTCATTTGATCAACCAGGGTCACAATAACCAGTTCAGCATGAGAACAACGTGCGACTGGAAGGAGTGGAGGGGGTTGAGGCAGGATAATCTCTTGGATTGGGAGACCCTCTGGGATTAAAACTGGGCTGCTGGTGTTTCGTGTCATTTGGACACAGATGGGAGGGAGGAGCAAGGGGGTGACACAGAAATGGGGCGATAAAAAAAATGGGTGGAGACAGGAAGACTCAACGGTGTGATGACAACAGCATTTTATTGTGCGAGTGCTGAGAGTGTCAAATTTGCAGTAACATTCTTGTTTTTTCGTTTTGTGTTTTTGGGGGGGGTGGTTGCTTTGTCATTTCTTAATGTATTCAAACAACAGTCAAATGATTCAAAACCTTGTCCGTCTGACTATTTGATTGTTAAATTGTGACTGTTGCTTGCTCGAATCAGCTTCGTTTGCTGCGACTTGTTGGTCACTCCGCCAACTGTTCACAATTCAAGTGGAATAATTTTTTTTTTTTTAATGAGGGATTATTAAATATATTATTGTTTCTGTTCTTATTTGCTACCACAAAAATTTAATAGTTCAGTCCAAATATGTGCCACCCGGCAAGTGTTTCAAATTTATTGGGTCATGTTTGCAAAACTCTTACTGAAACAAACCAAAGGACAGTGAATATGATACCAACAGTCTGAGTCACCGCTGCACTTTGCATTTGCCAAAATCAGGCTTGTCCAAACATTTTTTTTCTATGACCCGCACAAAGAAAAATAGAATGATGCAAAGGCTTCTGAAATTCTTCCCCTTTAATTTATTGAACAGGCTAAAACCAATCCATCTTTGTAGGTCAAATACTTTGCAAGTATGCATTGTGGATGGCTCTCCGCATTTAGATTCAAGGTAAGAGCAATCTGTAAACTACTCAGCTGACACTGACACAGAGTGGAACAAGCCATCGCGATTCATTCGAACTGGTTTTCATCTTCATTTCTCCTGACTTGTCACCCAGTGTCGAAAATAATCAGTTCAAAGCAGGCAAACAGCACGAATGTACATTTTAATACTATATGCTGCAGGCTATAAACGAGCAGCGCGCCACAGGTGACTTTTAGCCAGAGTTTACATACTCCTAGCCTATGGTAACAAACTGTCATCTTTTGGGGGGGAAATGTAACGAATTACGGGAAAATGAAAGAGCGATTTTTGGCCGTATGTACAGTTGAAATCCTGTGGTGTCCTTCTATTGCAACTCACAGCTGTATTTACAAGTGACCTGGCTATTTCTCTCATGTTGATGAGTCTCTCGGCATTCACACACAACCTCTGAACAAGTTACATGCATTTTCTTGTCTTTTATTAGCAATGCCAAAAACAAAATGTAGGTCCTCCTGAATAGTTATCGTATTTATTGACAGTATATCATCATTATTTGACTGAGCACAATAGATAATTGGATGGATGGAATGACAGAGGATTGAAGACTGTTTCTGTGTCATACATCAGACATCCTGCCGCCACACCTCACGCTGCGACCAAATTGAGCAAGGATCCAAGTCAGAGGGTCCAGAACTTGACCTTTCTTGTTCAGCAAATCAAGACATATTATGTGGTGAGTTTGTTTCTCCTGCGTCCATCCCTGCTCCATGCTGCTAAACCCTCTCACAACATCGGATTATAAAATTAGAACATTTGCTTTGGATTTTTCAATTCCACCTCAACTTTGAACACATGCAAAGGATAACGCATGCGTAAACCTGATAGTTGGTCGGACTCATTTCCTCCCAGATCGAGTTCTGCCCTAAGACGCATGCCCTAAATATCACCCATGCCAACATCTGTGCAATCAGCACAGGAGCAGTTGGATCTCAGCACTAAAGCAGCAGTCTGAGCCCAAGAAAGAGTCGCACATTTCCAGCACGAGATGCTGTGGCGCATGCCGCTGCTGATGAGGCTCGGATTTTCCTCTTCTGTCAAATTAATTAATTACAGTTTGAGATAAGATGTCTGGCATTCAACTCGACTGAGATTGAAAGAATGTCATTTTCAAGGAGGGTGGAGCATTTCAATTCTCCGATGAAGTGTGGTGGCAGAAATGAGTTCCTTTCTGCAGGAGCAACTTTAACAGCATGCCTAATGACTTCATTACCTTCATGTATATACCAATACTTTATTTCTGGTTCATTGTTTATTGTTGTAAGGAAAATTTTTGATGTAGGTCAGTTTTTAATGTAATTTTCACTGCTTCTATCCAGGCTGCTTTTGGCTATTTTGACCGTATAACGTTAACAGAGATAGATGCGTTGCTTCATTTAACTGGCGCATTCGTATTTCTTTAAAGGAAGTCTTGGACAATCTTTTTAACTGAGACAAGATATTTTTTTTTTCAAATACATACAGGTAACTACTGACACATCGTATTCTTCAAAGCAAAATACCTTTGCATTCATCGTTCCCAACTAGTAGCTCTCAGTTTCAAAAAATGTTGAGTGAGTTCAACATCGCTCCCTCTTGTGGAATATTGCTTAAATGGTGTCTATTTGGTTTGGTTTCATCCTGAAACACCACCACATGAACAACAAAAATCGGTTAATAAACAGCATTTGGAAAAAAAAATGATGATGCACAAGATTCTTCATGCTAATTATTCAATTAATCAGTGGAATGATAAATAGAATAATCAATTCAATAATGACAGTCCTACTTGTGACATCATAAAATTCAACTAATTATTGTCCATGGCTTCACTAGCAGTACTAGTAGCGCACAGATATCAACTAGTGCACAGTTTTTGCCTCACTACCGGTATGTAACTCGGTGACTTGGGGTGTCAAATTCAATCAATTCATCGATCATCAAATTAATTGACAACTGTTTTGAGAATTGATTAATAATTCAGACCTACTGTTTAATTTCAAATTATCAAAATACTTTGACTTGAGCCACACACAAGTGAATATTTTGATTTCTGTTGGCCTTCATGAAAGCAGAATGATTACTCAGGTCAACAATTTTTACTATTTTTTTTTTAAAAGCAAAGATCTAAGTAAACTCATCTACACTTGTAGATGATTTTTTTTTTTTGCACTGATTCCAAATCTGCCCTCGTTTTTTTCCTCTTGCACGTCAGGTTTTCATAATAATAAAATAAGAACAAGGTGAATAATCCGACGGCAAATTGTCACCGTAGCTGTCCTTATAGAGTCCACTGATGGTAGCGGCAAGTGTGACGCTTGAGGGAAACGCCCACCCTTTCCGCCGAAAACTGAAACAACAAAAAAAAAAAAACAAACAGGAACATGACAGAATCTTAATCAATTTGGATAAAATAATTGTTAAATCCATTACAAAACCATAATCTTTATTTGGAGTCATAGTATGGCTAACCTGGATTTTACATTGAGTGAAACCTTAAGTAGCCTCGAAGTGTATATCTAACGAGTTAACGGTTTGCATTCATCCGTTCCCAACTAGTACCTTTCAGTTTCAAAAAATGTTGAGTGAGTTCAACATCGCTCCCTCTTGTGGAATATTGCTTAAATGGTGTCTATTTGGTTTGGTTTCATCCTGAAACACCACCACATGAACAACAAAAATCGGTTAATAAACAGCATTTGGAAAAAAAAATGATGATGCACAAGATTCTTCATGCTAATTATTCAATTAATCAGTGGAATGATAAATAGAATAATCAATTCAATAATGACAGTCCTACTTGTGACATCATAAAATTCAACTAATTATTGTCCATGGCTTCACTAGCAGTACTAGTAGCGCACAGATATCAACTAGTGCACAGTTTTTGCCTCACTACCGGTATGTAACGTAGCTGTCATACTACTCATATGCCAGCGTCGTCCTATTGTGTGCAGTAATGTGTGCCGTAATGTTTTAGTGGAAGGCAGTAGTGAAAAAAACATGACTGGTAAGTAAAAATTCTGTGCCCCTGAGTCATTCTACCCGAGTGCTGAATTATTCCTATTGTTGTTCCTCATCAAATGTTGATAAAATCCTGCCCAAAGTTTGGAAAAAAAAATGATGATGCACAAGATTCTTCATGCTAATTATTCAATTAATCAATGGAATAATCAATAGAATAATCAATTCAAGAATGACAGTCCTACTTGTGACATCATAAAATTCAACTAATTATTGTCCATGGCTTCACTAGCAGTACTAGTAGCGCACAGATATCAACTAGTGCACAGTTTTTGCCTCACTACCGGTATGTAACATGTAGCTGTCATACTACTCATATGCCAACGTCGTCCTATTGTTTTCAGTAATGTGTGCAGTAATGTTTTAGTGGAAGGCAGTAGTGAAAAAAAACATGACTGGTAAGTAAAAATTCTGTGCCCCTGAGTCATTCTACCCGAGTGCTGAATTATTCCTATTGTTGTTCCTCATCAAATTTTGATAAAATCCTGCCCAAAGACAGGAGACATCATAGATTTTGACAAGATGCTAGTTAAAGGATTATGATTTGAGCACCGTATGTTCTAAGGGAATTATCACCCCTCTTAGAAAACCGATGGTCTGCTGGCAGTTGTCTCGCAAGTGACAGACTGGATGGACACACTCTTGATGAGTGTGTACCCCGTACAGTCATGGAAGGCTTCCATTTGTCCACCATTAAGATTCAGTGTCCATTTATTCATTTGATCAACCAGGGTCACAATAACCAGTTCAGCATGAGAACAACGTGCGACTGGAAGGAGTGGAGGGGGTTGAGGCAGGATAATCTCTTGGATTGGGAGACCCTCTGGGATTAAAACTGGGCTGCTGGTGTTTCGTGTCATTTGGACACAGATGGGAGGGAGGAGCAAGGGGGTGACACAGAAATGGGGCGATAAAAAAAATGGGTGGAGACAGGAAGACTCAACGGTGTGATGACAACAGCATTTTATTGTGCGAGTGCTGAGAGTGTCAAATTTGCAGTAACATTCTTGTTTTTTCGTTTTGTGTTTTTGGGGGGGGGGGTTGCTTTGTCATTTCTTAATGTATTCAAACAACAGTCAAATGATTCAAAACCTTGTCCGTCTGACTATTTGATTGTTAAATTGTGACTGTTGCTTGCTCGAATCAGCTTCGTTTGCTGCGACTTGTTGGTCACTCCGCCAACTGTTCACAATTCAAGTGGAATAATTTTTTTTTTTTTAATGAGGGATTATTAAATATATTATTGTTTCTGTTCTTATTTGCTACCACAAAAATTTAATAGTTCAGTCCAAATATGTGCCACCCGGCAAGTGTTTCAAATTTATTGGGTCATGTTTGCAAAACTCTTACTGAAACAAACCAAAGGACAGTGAATATGATACCAACAGTCTGAGTCACCGCTGCACTTTGCATTTGCCAAAATCAGGCTTGTCCAAACATTTTTTTTCTATGACCCGCACAAAGAAAAATAGAATGATGCAAAGGCTTCTGAAATTCTTCCCCTTTAATTTATTGAACAGGCTAAAACCAATCCATCTTTGTAGGTCAAATACTTTGCAAGTATGCATTGTGGATGGCTCTCCGCATTTAGATTCAAGGTAAGAGCAATCTGTAAACTACTCAGCTGACACTGACACAGAGTGGAACAAGCCATCGCGATTCATTCGAACTGGTTTTCATCTTCATTTCTCCTGACTTGTCACCCAGTGTCGAAAATAATCAGTTCAAAGCAGGCAAACAGCACGAATGTACATTTTAATACTATATGCTGCAGGCTATAAACGAGCAGCGCGCCACAGGTGACTTTTAGCCAGAGTTTACATACTCCTAGCCTATGGTAACAAACTGTCATCTTTTGGGGGGGAAATGTAACGAATTACTTGGATGGATGGAATGACAGAGGATTGAAGACTGTTTCTGTGTCATACATCAGACATCCTGCCGCCACACCTCACGCTGCGACCAAATTGAGCAAGGATCCAAGTCAGAGGGTCCAGAACTTGACCTTTCTTGTTCAGCAAATCAAGACATATTATGTGGTGAGTTTGTTTCTCCTGCGTCCATCCCTGCTCCATGCTGCTAAACCCTCTCACAACATCGGATTATAAAATTAGAACATTTGCTTTGGATTTTTCAATTCCACCTCAACTTTGAACACATGCAAAGGATAACGCATGCGTAAACCTGATAGTTGGTCGGACTCATTTCCTCCCAGATCGAGTTCTGCCCTAAGACGCATGCCCTAAATATCACCCATGCCAACATCTGTGCAATCAGCACAGGAGCAGTTGGATCTCAGCACTAAAGCAGCAGTCTGAGCCCAAGAAAGAGTCGCACATTTCCAGCACGAGATGCTGTGGCGCATGCCGCTGCTGATGAGGCTCGGATTTTCCTCTTCTGTCAAATTAATTAATTACAGTTTGAGATAAGATGTCTGGCATTCAACTCGACTGAGATTGAAAGAATGTCATTTTCAAGGAGGGTGGAGCATTTCAATTCTCCGATGAAGTGTGGTGGCAGAAATGAGTTCCTTTCTGCAGGAGCAACTTTAACAGCATGCCTAATGACTTCATTACCTTCATGTATATACCAATACTTTATTTCTGGTTCATTGTTTATTGTTGTAAGGAAAATTTTTGATGTAGGTCAGTTTTTAATGTAATTTTCACTGCTTCTATCCAGGCTGCTTTTGGCTATTTTGACCGTATAACGTTAACAGAGATAGATGCGTTGCTTCATTTAACTGGCGCATTCGTATTTCTTTAAAGGAAGTCTTGGACAATCTTTTTAACTGAGACAAGATATTTTTTTTTTCAAATACATACAGGTAACTACTGACACATCGTATTCTTCAAAGCAAAATACCGATTAGCATTTGCCTCTACGCTCAGCCGAAACATGTGATTGATAGAAGCGAATATGAAGTCCTCACCTTTCCTTTCATCTTCTTGGTTTGCATTTTATGTGACAGGAAAACCTGAGACAGTTGATTCTGATTCCTCTTCCAAATGTGCTTCTGCTTTCACGGACTCCTTACACCGGTAAGCCATCCGTTCATTTTCTGCAGTGCTTGTCCTCATTAGAACAAGCAGACTCTCAGGTGAGCCGGAGGCAATGGCAGCTGACTTTGGACATGGAGTGCACCTTGGACTGCCAATCACAAGGCACATATAGACAGACAACCACTGACACTCACACTCACACCTGTGTACTATTTTAGAGTCTTGAGTGTACCTAACATGCATGTTTTGAGATTATGGCAGGAAGGCGGAGTCCTCAAGCTGGGCATTGCTAAGAACCTCTCAATTCGATTTCTATTCTTCAGGTTGTGATTGGATTTGATTTCGAATCTTCAGGTTGCGATTCGATTCAGTATCGAGTAAGAAGTAAAAGGAGTACATTTTGATAATTTGGGAATGTAAGCGCGTCTTGCTTGTCTCGTTGCATTTTTAGCAATAAAAACATCAGCAAATTAAAATTTGTTTGTGCATATGAAGCCCAAAAGTACAAAGCATGATAGTTCTTTATCACACTGAAAAAATAAAGCGCATGTAAACTTTTTTTGTGACGTCGGTCATGGGCCTTTTCTGGCACATAACGTTCCCACACGAGGAGATGTCTGGATCCGAGGTGAAAGGTCAGATTGCATGCACCAGCAACGCAAGGTAAAAGCCAACTGGGCAAAGGCGACAGCATCCTGGGTATTGCTTGCAGGGGCATCTCATCCGTGGTGGTGTAGGGGGCCGGTCGGTCCATTCTTTTCCTGATGAGAGGGTTTAACAATTGCACTTTTCCCAACTGTTGTTGCTCAACACACTTGCCAAATTCATCTGGCAGTATGTATAGGAATGCAAATTCCCTGCCTTCTCCTGGATTTTCATTTTAACATTTCAATGTGAAGTATTGTATTTGTTCTGACAGAGCAAAGTCTGGTGGAATTAAAGAAACTATTGCTGTTGCTCCTGGGATGTGCAGTCCAGGTAAACATTCAACTGGTGTCTAATATGCGAAACGTGTGATGTGCAGGGCTAGTATATTGTTTTGTGAAAATATTGTTGGCAAAAGAATCCCTATGAGCTATTTTCTGTTTGATTTTCAGTGTGAGAAGAAAGAGAAGTACATTGAAATCATCCAGACGCTTGACTTTGGCACCAAAGCAGCCATAGCTGTGCATATTCAAGAGGTATCTTGGATTGATTTTTCAGTCGCTTCTTAGCCTGTGTAAACCAACTCACTAAGATAAAGATCATTTTTGCAAGACTAACCTAACAGCAAGAAATATGGAGATCATTACAACATGTCAGTATGTGTGCATCTCCCTTGATGCCATAATTGTCCTTCTCCCAATATTGTCCAGCTGACTCACAGTCAAGACAACCTACTCGACCTGCATTGGTTGGGTTGCAGTAACATGTCCGCCGATGAGCTGGAGGTCGTGGCAAAGACTATGGCCGTCAATCTTCAGCACTTGCTGGATCAGAGGGACGCCCATCTGGAGGTAAGTCACGGTACTGCTTGGAAATCAAAATATGCAACTGTAATTGGGCTGGGAATTGGAAAGGGTTCTCAATAAAAAGAAAATATCTCAAACAACAATTGTCACATTCAGCAATGTAAAGTATGAATAAAATTGTTTGGACCCATCTTAAACAATCAATCTATCGCTCAATCAGGGGCTGGTCTCGACCTGTCCGGTAAACCTGAAACTTCATTTCTTGCCAAAAATATAAAGACATACTTGTATCTCAAGTCTTTCAAAGACCTTTATAAAGAACTCGATCAGAAATAGTGAGTCAGGTCCTCTTGTTTGTCAGTGAGATGATGTAAACCTCACAAATTGAGGGTGGTGTAGGAGTAGGGGTAATCCCACTGACACAGTTCAAAATCTTGGGGGAGATTCTTCATTGTTTGTTTCTTACTTTTGTTCGCTCGTGTAAAGTCCATGCAACATTCTCAGCTGTGATTGGTTCCGCCAATAAAAATGATTGAGTACACCGAAAAAAAATGGTGTGTTGAATGTCCTCAATTTTATTTTGTCAAGTGGCCGCACCCAATAGAATCAGGTGGATTTTAAACTACATTTTCTTAAATTGATGTATAGCCTACTTAAAAATGTATCTGCGTCCAGATGATTTCATTTCGTGCGACCACTTGACAAAATAGAATTGAGTACATTTTGACGTGTTCTGATGATCCCTTTTTGTTTTAAGACTATAGCGGAGCTAACCCAAGAAAGGGAAGGTGTGGTTCGTGTGCTCTGTAACTCAACCAGCCCACAGTCGGCCGTCTATCCTCCCAGCATGCAACAGCAGCAGGTGGGGACTCAGCAACACTTGGCGGTGGAACTTGCCGACTCTAAGGCCAAGATCAGGCGACTTAGGCAAGAGCTGTGAGTATCTTGTGGATAAAGACAGAGCCTGCTTTATCCTACTGCTAAAACAAGAACGCTCTTAGCAAATGATTTGGGATTAAAACTGTCCTTCAATAAAGATGTTTTTACAAGGTTACAAATATTAGAATGCTCAATTTGATTGACACAGAGACATTGAGTGAACCCTATGTTGGCCATTGTTTGATTGCGAAGGTCAAAATGACCCTGAGATCGCGTTATTAGCTATATATTTTCAAAGAATGTGAAAACTAATGTAAAGTAAAAGAGAAATTGTAAATATGATCTTCAATGTCAAGTTTGTAAATAAGTACAACCTTAATATGGTATTCATTGCAGTGAATTGCAGCACATTTTTACTTTTGTGACTTTTTAAAAATGTATTTCTCGATCATTGATGATATGTCACTTTTATGAGTCTCATTATATTTCTTTCTAATGTTGCTTCCCTGCGTGGGGTCAATTCTGACTCCACATTTGAATTACACTATCTATTGCTTAATAAAAAGGTTATCTCTGTATGCCATCAAACTCAAATAAAAAAGTCTGCAGAAGTGGAAATGTAGACCGTGGGGGACAGTGTTTGCTACTTCATGTGAGCTGTCTGTCCTCTGGAGACTTTCCAGTAGTGACTGAATGAGAGAGTTACTACAGGATCAGCGATGCCCCGGGGAGTTTGGCCCACATTAATGCCTGCCTGGCAATTTCAGTGCTTGCGTACTATACCTCTGACCCACATTGGTTCTGTGCTTCTACAGCTCATGTGTGCAAATGCACACTAACCCTGATCACCAACCCTAAGAGCAATGTTGATCGTCATCGTCCTCTAATGTTTTATCCTTGCTTGCTGGGTCAGTCAGACAGTCATGTGAACAAATACATTTAACCATGAACAGGTTTATTTATTTCTCTCTTTCTTTATCTGGCCCTGAAACCAGTTACTTCAACTAAACAGGTGTGCTTCACTGTTTGCCATTTCCATGCCTATTAACAGACAGCTTGGGCCAGTCGGCTGTAGCAGAGATACAAAAGTTTTATTTTTAATTAATAGCGCCTGTGAAGCTTAGAGATATGTGATCATTTTAACAACGAAGAAGTAAGATGTTCTTCTTGTGTCTGTGTGTGTCTGCACTGTGTCCATCCCTGCAGAGAAGAGAAGAGTGAACAAATGCTGGACAGCAGACACGAGCTGGAGAACATGGAGGCAGAGCTAAAGAAAATCCAGCAGGAGGTTTGAAGAAAAACAAGACAAACAATGAATTGACCGTAATGCATCATTCTTTCCTTAAAGGAGAGCAGCACATGGCATATTTGTGGGGAGAATTATTTATCAACAAACTGGGTTTTGAGCAAAAGTTTGAATTCATCCATCCAGCAAGTTTCTAATCCGCTTTATCCTCACAAGGGTTGCGGGAGTGCTGGAGCCAGTCACAGCTGTCTTCGGGCAGTAGGCGGGGGACACCGTGAACTAGTTGCCAGCCAATCGCAGGGCACACATAGACGAACAACTATTTACTCTCACAATCACAGCCAGGGACAATTTAGCATGTTCAGGTTCACCTGCCATGCATGTTTTTGGAATGTGGGAAGAAACCGGAGTACCCGGAGAAAATCCACGCAGGTACGGGGAGAATATGCAAACTCCAAACAGCAAGGCCAAAGCCGGATTCGAATCCTGCACCTCTGCACTCTGAGGCCGATGTACTAACCAGTCGACTACCGTGCCGCCAAATTTGAATTCATATTTGTTATATCCTGTGAAATTACTGGTGCCAACTGCTCAACCGTATTGCCTAATAACAATTCTAATGCCTGCTACCAGCGGAATAATAACTGTTTTTTTTTTTTTTTATCTGAATATTTGTTCAGTAAATGGCTACAAAACCTAATTTTGTATGAATCTTCATCAGAATTTGAAGCTGCTTGTAGATGCCCGAGCAGCCCGTGCGTACCGCGATGAGCTGGATGCTCTGAGAGAGCGAGCGCTCAAAGCTGACAAGCTGGAGTGTGAGGTGGCACGCTACAGGGAGCAAATGCACAAGATGGAATTTTACAAGGCCAAAGTGGAGGTTAAACAACTAAAAATAACTTGTTTTTACGCATACATACGCGAACGCACACACACCACAAAAATCTGCTCCCATTTCTGATTAATTGAAGTAAACCATGCACGGATTCCTACACCATCCGACGGTCCAGTTTGCTTTCACAAATTTTGTGGACACTTCAGTCATGCAAAAATGATTTATCCAACGTCAGATGACGCATTTCAATGGACTGATGACAAAAGTCAGTTCCAAATACTGTATGTACTTTGTCTCCAAAAAAAAGAAAGTCACACTTCACACTGGTTCTTTTAAAAGATTCATATCCCTCCCTCATTATGTCGTGCGTATCTTTTACCCCAAGGTCATTTGGTACATAGTCAGGATATTTGTATAATCTTCAGATACAGATTTCTACTGTATTCACAATAATGATTTTGATATGTGTGGTAATATAATTTTCAAAAAAATATTCACTTTTTTTTTGCTTTTATTGTAGGTAATATAAATTATACTGTACTTTTAATACAATTAATCGGAAATGGGAACCCAATTAAGTGTTTCACTTATATTATGGTTGATTTCATATCAGCATTACATAATTCAAGTGGCAGTAAATGTTTTTTGCTCCTTCACCTCAGGAGCTCAAGGAGGATAACAGAGTTCTGCAGGAAACCAAAGAGGTGCTGGAGGATCAATTGGCAGGCTGGAGGGCACGCTCAGATAAAATCCACCAGCTGGAGAAGCACAGCCTGCTCCTGAAGTCCCGGATACATGACATGGAGCAAGTAATAGTACCGTTTGTCTTCACTTGAGTTGCCGAACATTCCGCACTATAAGGCACACCTAAAATCATTCAATTTTCTTATAATCCGATGCGCCTTATATATGTGTCAATATTCTGATTTCTTGGACATAATATTTTAAATGTTCTGAAAAGCACTTTGCTACAGCTGCGGCAGTTGCGAAGGGCCTACATAAATAAAGCTATATTGTATTGCCTTCCCTTTAGCGTAGCTCCATCTAGTGGATGCTTTACGCAACCGCAGCCACTATTGTAGCTTCTATTCTATGTGCATTATAATATGGTGCGCCCTATACCTGCATATGAAAACAGGTTTAAAATAGGCCATTCATTAAAGGTGCACCTTATACTACTAAGCGCCGTATAGTGTGGAAGATACACTATTTTAATTTCAATATCTTGAATTTAAGAAGCTAACCATCATGCATCTCTACTTTAGGGAAGGGATGCAGATCGTAAATGCATTGAGGAGCTGCAGGACGAAAACCTGACTCTGTGTTTAGCACAGAGGAGGAGCATGGAGGAGTCCCAGCACCTGGGATGGGAGTTAGAACAACTGTCGAAGAGCAACGACATTTCTCAGGGTAAGAGCTGGGAAATATTACTTTGTCGAATCGCGGCTCAAGTATGTTGCGATACGCGGGTTAGTACTTGTTACACGCGTTATTAATTGCCTCTCATCTATATAAGCAAAACAAACATGTCCAAGGATTTGCTGCCATCATTATTCACCTCTATGTGTTTGTCTAAAGGGCAGCAGACTTTAAGTGAGGAGGTGAGTGAGCGGATCCGTAGTGGGCTATTAAAGTTGGAGAAGGAGAACCAAAGTCTCCTGAGCACTGTCGAGGAGCTCAGAGCTGCGTGCACTCACAACAACAACAACGCACAGTCCAACAAACACAGCCACCATGGTGAGAAGGATCTTGACCAGCAGGTGGTCTGCTGCACTGACAAGTGGACTTCAGCATCAGATGAAAACATCATATCAATGACTCCCTGTTCACGTGAACAGAACTGCAGCAATGCATCCAACCAAGGTGCAGTCAAACAGAAGACGTTCAGTAGAGATGCCGAATATCAGAAGCCAGAGCACGACCACGAAAGCCTCCACCACTCTGTTAATTCAGCCAATACTCATCACGTTCAGCATAAAGGACAGTTAGAGGACAACAACGCCGTAGAGCATTTTGAAGCAGTTATGTCTGAGCTGCAAGTGTATGAAAATAGTCCCGGTGGTGTTCGTTATTCTATTGGATCACACAATCCCTCTCCTGGCTCAAGAAGCAGCAGCTCCAGCCATGACGGCCTTTTCATGGACCTGCCAGCACGCTTCATTAACACCAAGAAGCACACAGAGCGTCTGGAGACCAAATGCAGGGCCTTAGACTCCTTTAATCAACAACTGCAAACGTCCCTTGGTAACACTGGTATGTTTTGTAGAGGAGAAAATTCAGGTTTTGGTTAGACCCCTTGAAGACTTGACATTTTTTGGGAATCCTCCTCTCTAGAGCGAAAAGTCCAAAGATTGGAAGCTGAGGTTCAAGAACTGGAGGCAGACAACCAAAGCCTCCAGGTCACTTTAGAGGAACTCCGGATTACTGTACGCCGTTTGGACCAAGTGGAAACAGAGAAGCGGAATTTGGAACAAGAAACGGCTGCGTTGGAGAAGGTAAAGCGGCAACTGGAGAAGGAGACTCGGCGACTGCGTCAGCAGGTAAGTGCCAGGTTACCAGATTTTGAGCACTGCGTTCATTATGGCTGAACAAATCGTGTCAGTCACTACATCTTACATGTCAGGTTGAAATTCAAGAAGCCAATTTAGATAGCAGCAATGTCTGCATGGCGAGCCTGGAAAGGGAGCTGCGCTGTCTGGTGAAGGAGGTGGAGGAGTTGAGGGAGACAGCTGAGAGGGTGAAAGGGCTGGAGAGAGACAACAGAGAACTGGTCAAGCAAGCTGCTATCGACCAGAGGACCCTGGACACCCTTAGAGAGGTAACAAGGAGACTAAATTCACTCCAAATTTTGCTGCTGTAAATTTTGCTGCTGTAAATTGCGAAGTTCTCCATTGTGAGACGAATAAAGGTTTTCTTATCTTATCTTATCTTATCTTATCTTATCTTATTATGCCCCCATCCATTTTCTATTCCATTTTATACTCAAAAGGGTCGCCGGTGTTCTGGATCCAATCTCAGCGCTGATCCTGGGTTGTTGACTGTCTTTTAGGAGCTTGTCAGCGAGAAACTGAAGACCCGACAGAGAGAGGATGAACTATACCGTCTGTCCCATGAGCAGGAAATGAGGGTTCTCAACCAAGAGAGTAAACAATCTGTGGAACCTGACACACCCGAACGCAGGTGTACATTGTATTGTTTCTCTTTTAAAAATAGGAAAAAGACATCGCCCAACTGCTCTGAATGTTGAAGGATATAATTGTCCATGCAGCAGGTTCAATATGCTCGAGTCAGAGTTGGAGTTGTCCTTGAAGAAGTCCCTTCAAATGAAAGAAGAAAAAGTGGCTGCGCTGGAGGCCCGTCTCCAAGAATCCTCTACCCTTAGTCAGCAGCTTCGCCACGAGCTCAGAACTGTAAGTTACATGCAATGACACAATTTTACGAGAATGTCTTGTTTTGTCCAGTTGCAGGTCTTTCAACTCTGCTCCGCCACACAGGTGAAACTCAGCTATGAGGCCCTGCAACAAAAGCAGGAGGAGGAAGAGGTGACTGAATCAAGCGCCCCCCCACTGAGAGAGAATGGAAAGGCAATGAGGGAATGGCTGCGTGAAAGCCACGAAGCCACCAAAGAGCTACTGAGTATCAAAGACCGGCTGGTTGAAGTAGAGCGGAATGTGAGTTGCCGTTTATTGCTAATGACAATTAGCATTGAAATGTGTCCCAAAGATGACACAGCCTCTGATGTGTTGATTCGAAGAGAACCAGTTTGCCTCATTGCCTCTTTCGACTCGTTTCCTCTTTCTAGAATGCAACACTGGAGACAGAGCGCCAAGCTACACAGGCCCATCTGAAGCAGCTGGAGTATCATTCTGACAGTCAACAGGCTCAGATCCTCGCCCTGCAGAGGCAAGCCGCCTCCCTGCAGGAGAACAACACCACTTTGCAGGCACAAAATGCAGACCTGCAGGTACAGGAATGAGAGAGCTTAGCCGAGCGTGTACTTTGCCTTCAAGTGAACTGGACGACTCGCTTTTCAGGTGGAAAAATCCACGCTGAACTCCCAGTGTGCTTCCCTGATGGCTCAGAACGCTCAACTGCAACAGCAGAAGGTGGGAACCGAAAACGAGAGGGACAGCGCGATGCGTGAATGCGAAGAGCTGCGCGGTGCTCACGAGCAGCTATTACGTGATCACGAGCGTCTGGCGGCTCTCCACGAGCGGCAAGCCGCAGAGTATGAAGTGCTCATGGGGAAACACGGCTGTCTGAAAAATGCCCATCGGACACTGGAGCTTGAGCACCGCACACTGCAGGACAGGTGAGAAAAACAATAGTGAATAAGCTTTCGTGTCGTGTTTGCTAACTTTTGTCTTTCAAAGATCTGTAGTTGTTTGTTTCTTCAAAAAAAGGGCATCCAGTACCCCCTGTTGACATGTTTTAGTTTATTAGCACTTCAACTTGTGTGTTAATTTTATCTAACATGCCAAGGATAACTATAATACAGTGCTGTGTTTACTTTTTGGATTCAGAAGGAACAGTTTACATTTTCATTAGCATGGGATTATTTTTTTGTGAGCTACCGTGTTAGTTTTGATCAGCCAGGATTTCTCTGTTAGATATTCTTCCAGGACATACAGGGCCAGTCAAATAATAGAACATGTAGTTGGACTGGTCGCTGTTGCGGCTTTCAGCTTTTCCCAGCATTGGGTCACCACAGCAAGTGCTGTATATGTTCAAAATGTATATCATGGAAGAAAGTGATCACAAAACTTTTTTTTCATTTCTGATTTGAGAAGATGTTGTGATGTCAAAACACAATTTACTTAAGGGATGCAACAAAATGGGCGGCTCGGTGGTCCAGTGGTTATCGCATCAACCTCACAGTGCAGAGGTACCGGGTTCAATTCCAGCTCCGGCCTCCCTGTGTGGAGTTTGCATGTTCTCCCTGTGCCTGTGTGGGTTTTCTCCGGGTACTCCAGTTTCCTCCCACATTCCAAAAACATGCATGGCAGGCTGAATGAGCACTCAAAATAGGCTCCAGCACCCTCTGCCACCCTTCTGAGGATAAAGAGGATCGGAAAATGGATGGATGGATCCTGCGACCCTTCTGAGGATAAAGAGGATCGGAAAATGTATGTATGGATGGATGGATGGATGGATGGATGGATGGATGCAACAAAACCTTTGGGACTGAATAGAGCTTTTAGGAAGCCCTTCACTTTGGCAAATAAATATGCCTTGGCAGAGATCTGGTTTTGAACCAGTGCTAATGTATATGGCATTGTATTATTATTTTCATGTTGGATTTGACATGTTTTATTGTAGGTACAACAACCTGTTGCAGCAACGGACCAAATTAGAAGATGTGGAAAAAGCTCTGAAGGAAGAGCAGATGAAAATGAGTCTGGAGAAGGAACATCATAAGACCGCTGCTGCCGAATGTTGCAGGCTTCGGGATGAGAAAGACTGGTGAGAAAAAGCCAAGCAAGGGCACATACAACACAGGCCGAAGGCACATCTGGGCTTATTACGATCATTAAGAGACTACTGTATTTTTTCCTGTGTGCCACAATGTTGTACTCTGTTTTTGTTTTTTTTTCTCCAGGCTGAACCAAACTTATCGTCAGCTTTTGAACGACAATCAGCTACTGACAGCGGATCACAAGCAGCTCAAGAGCCAACTAAATGAGACCAAGCTGGCGCACACCTGGCTGGAGGCAGACTTTTCCAAGCTCAAAAAAGAGTATCAGCAAATTGATATCACCTCCACCAAGCTCACCAATCAGTGTGAGGTGGGCACTCTACAATCTAACACATGCATTTTTCAGGGGGTTGCTTAAAACCTTTATTATCTGATTTTGGGTGGGGGCGGGGGTGGTATTGTTTGCATTGAATACATACCCTCTGCTGACCTGTGTGATTAGTTGCTGAGCCAGTTGAAGGGGAACCTGGAGGAGGAGAATCACCATCTTCTCAATCAAATCGACACACTGATGCTGCAGAACCGGACTCTGTTGGAACAGACAATGGAGAGCAAAGATTTGTTCCACATCGAGGAACGACAATATATGTAAGCAGGGAGAATCACTTAACTACTACATTCAAGCACAGTAAATAATTAAGAAGTGGAAGAAGACACATTGGTCAAAACAAACAAAAAGGTCACGGATGGATTTGCTAGAATGCGTGTACTGTATGTCATCTCCAGTCCCAGAAATCCATCTTCAAGTTGTGGCTAGTCAAAAATGACCAACAAGCAGCTCTCGGCACTTTTCAACACAGAACGCAATTACCGGTAGCGTTCTTCTGTCACAGTAACGGAACGAGACTCTAATTCAAAGTCAAAGCGCCTTCTCTAAATTGTTTTCTGAGATCGATATGTGAAGCTAATTGTCTGCCAAGTCAGGTCCTCGCTTGCTTAAGAGAATAATTTAAAAATAAACAACTCTCTCTGTTTGTTCAGTGACAAACTTAATGATTTGAGGAGACAGAAGGAGAAGCTCGAGGAGAAGATCATGGACCAGTATAAGTTTTATGAGCCTTCGCCTCCTCGCAGGTAAGTTGCTTGACATTTGTGGTTGGTGCAGATGATGCGCTAATCATCTCATTTCACCTCCATGTGGTCCTGGAAGTAAATTTCAGGTTAGGGTACATACTTTCAAAATAAAATTCGTTCAATGACACTTCTCTAAATGTTCATTTTCAACAGACGAGGAAACTGGATCACTCTCAAGCTGAAGAAGTTGATCAAATCTAATAGCCGAGAACAGGGACTAGAACATCCTCTCACACCAACACACTCAGAGGCTCACCTCTCATGTCACGACAGCGGCTCCTTCATTAGTTCAGACGGCTCTGCGGGGTCCACCTCCACATCAGCAGGCGACGCCATACCACCGCAGCCAAACAGTGAGTATGAGCTTCCAGACTTGCACTCGGGATTTTCATCAACAAGCTACATTCTGACTGTGTATAGAATGCCTTATTCTTCTTTACGCATAGTCGATGTGCACGTTCCTCTGCATGCACTAAAATGTCCCTCATTTTGTCTCGTTTCTCTTAACTCCCTCCTCCCTTGTACCCTCCCCTTCATCCACACCACTCCCTTACCATCTCTCACTTCACTCCATCACTTCTATTTATCACCTACGTGGATGCTGTCTGCTAAAAAGCCACACTGAAACAAATGAGAAACAGGCGGAAGAACAAAGATAAATTGAAATCTCTGCTCCAACGTTCCTTGTGTAAGACAGTGTTCAAGTATTTGATCCTTTCTTCACAACAGCGTTTTATTCAACTGCTAATTTAGAAATGAAAATGCGCTGCCACTTTATGCTACTCCATCACATCAGAATTTAACGCAGCAATTAAAAGTCATTATCAGAATATCAGCATCCACAGTATTCAGACTAGCGGTACATCAAATTGGCTGCATTTGTAGACGGAGATATTTCCCGGCAAAGCTATGTCTCAGTCTCTATGAGCTCCTGTACATCGTCACTCATCCATTCCACCTCCCCACTGTCCTGTTCTCTGGTACAACATTGCAGCCCTCGGCAGTTTGCGATTCGCCTCTGCCCCGTTGGAGCAGGAGCAGTGGGCATACAGCTCTGAGGAGCTGGAAGGGTCAGAAGCTGATGTGCAGGACAGGAAAAAAATATTGAGCTCATTCCCGAGCACATCCATCCTGTCCACACCTCACTTGCATCCTCCCCCTGAACCATCCATCCAACTCCACACCATAACCACTGTCACTGATGTCCCAGATTTGTTCCTGCCACAGAGAGGTAGAGGCATTTGCTAGCCATTGATGATTTCATTGACACTTTGTGTTGTTTCTACGTATATTAAATACTCCCAAATCGACGGAATGTAAATGTGTGTGTTGAAAATTTATTTGTGCTCCACAGACAAGGACTCAAATGATAGTGCTGCGCCAACTGGGATTGAGGACAACGACAAGCCGCAGCACCGCGGTAAAGCTTTGCGAATAGCCGTTTAGAGGATTCAGCAAATACAGATGTATTACCCTTGCAGGAATTAGAGTAAATCCATCAAATCGCTATCATGACCTTGTTTCATATTAATCTGCATGCTAACCACAGAGGAAAAAAAAAAATCGAAGAAAAGAGGATGCACTGCCCCCTTTCTATCATTAACAGAATGATACTTTTGTAGAGGCACTGACATTAACCTGTAAAGGTTTCAAAATGATAAAACTCCGCACTCAAGTAGAAGACATTTGTGTAAAAAAAAAAAAAAAAAACAAGTGAAAGACAAGTTTAAAAGAATTTGTAAATATTACACTAATCTAGCAAGAAAATGTAAGTACCACCAACTGCCTCCAAGCTAAAAAACTTAGCATTTCTTTTTGTTTAAATTTTTTTTCATCATTTCATTTTTCTTTGTTCAATACTATCGGTACTCCTACTCCTCCTCCTCATCCTTGATTCCAGACCATTTGTGCACTTTCTTGAATGAATGCCTTACTGTGGTGGTGGACAGTGTTCGGAAATACTCTCGACAGTACCATTGTTGCTTCGTTGTGTTGTTTAATTGATTCGTCATCTATGCTTAAGTAGCCAAATGTAAAAAAAAATAAAAAGTACTGAACAGACTCTCACATGTACTAAAAGTTAAAATTGATTTTTATTTTCTGTCAGTGACAAAAAAGGTGATAACTTGGCACAATAAAAAATATGCGTATACAAAATAGTTGACCTATTTTATTAAATTGTGCTGTGCAAACTGAGAAGAAGAAAAATGTTATACAGTATATGTCACATAGATTAGCTAACTTTGGCTCAACTTTTTGCAAAACCTGTTCTTGGCAACATGATGTGCCAACAACATCAAATATATCTTGCTTCTCCAAATATGTTGCATCATCGTCGATAATGGTCCCTCATGGGTCACGTTCTTCCATGTCACTGCCATCCCTGTTTCTTCCACACTCTTAAGTTCCAAAGAATGCAATCAATCAATCATGAGCTCAACTATGGTAGATTGTGCCTATCGTTTTTACGTCACGACATCATCAGAGGTTGAAAAGGTATCACGTACGTATAAGTAAAAGGAAAAGCAGTCAGAAAAATAAACACACTGAAGAACAGATGCCTGAAAAATCAATTTACGTACAGTAACAAAGTACAAATACAGTACTACTTTGGGAGTATGAGCTCAGTCCAACGACACTGCAATGCACCAGTATTACTCTAAATCAGCTTCGAGTATATCACTCTTGTACTTAACTGCAAATAAGTGAATGCATCGCACTCAGATGAGCTTCTTGTGTTTAATTTTGCTTGATTAGCTCAAAGGCCTCTTGTTATGATGCAGTGAAGTTCTACACACTGAAAACTACAACCACAATATTAAATATATCATTCAATAAATACTCAATTGTGCAGCATTACTTCATGAATGTGTACATGTGAGTGAATATCACGATTAAGAAACTATATTATTTGTCTTCTCAGGGCTTAATGTCACCTGGAATGGCGCTCAAAGTGAGAGCAGTGGTGAGTTCAGCATAAGCCTGGATAATGAGCCCTGGTCAAATGGCAGCAGCCCTGTCCAGCAGGCACTGTCTCGCCACTCCTCTGTGTCGTACCAGCCGCCCAGGGACACCTCCACACCCCAACACACAGAGCAGACTTCCTCCACAGCACACAAGGAGAAAGCCTTGACCAATCCGAGGACAAACAGCCAGGAATCAGAGCTAAAGAGTCTATCTCAACTGAAAGAGCCGACATCAAACCACGACTTCTGGCTCACGCGGGGAACAAAGAGCATCAGAAGGGGGTCTAAAGGAAAAGTAACACGTCGCTCTTCAGACTCCGGGGGCACGTTAAGCACAAATTTGAGATCAAACTCCAGTAATACGGAATGTACCCAGACTTTAGCTTGTTCACCAATTACAGTATTTTATGTTCAGGGTAAGTCGTCCTCAATGTCTGGGTGCCTCAATTGCTTCTCCAATCCACTGGGGAAAGAAGAGCGGCTCAAAGGGTACGGTGATTTTAAAAGTCTCCCTCGTGCCAGTAGTGTCATTTCCACAGCTGATGGGTCATCTAGACGCCCCAGCATCAACAATAACTGCAGGGATGTAAGCAAGACTGAGACACTTCCTGCCCCCATCTCAGAAAAGTGCAATAACCAAGAGAAGCAAGAAACAGCAGCCACGTTCAATCAACATCCTCAAAAAGTCGGTGAAAGCAGTGCGCCCAAACTGAGCCCGCCAGTCAAACCCCCAAGAGATCCAGCAGCCATTGTTGCCAAAGACCCTCCTAAACCCCCTGTGCAGGAGTCAGATTTAAACTCCCCATTTAGTCTTAACTCTGTCTTCTCAAACACAATCTTCAGTGATTCTGAGGGGAGTTGTACGAATGCGATTGAGGCTGAACGGCCCGACAGATATTTTCCCTTATGAGACCAACTGTAATGCAAAACTGCACTCTGGTGAACCACAAGTCTACTCATAAAAAAAATGGAACCACTCAACATGGAAAAGGTGATCATGATGCAGGATTGAGATGATGGTTTGGATAGCCCTGTGAAACAATCCTTTGTTTTGAATTGCCACGTTTCTTAATCTGCGTTCTGCCCTGCTGCTCCGTGCTTTTGACCTACGTTACAACCAATGTTCTGTCACTATTACATTTAAATGTTAACTTGAAAGAAATATGTTTCGATGTGATATAAAGTGTAAATTATTGAAGCTTTTAACGATAGTGTGTGTGATTTCTCCTTTAATAAAATAAATATATTGGTAAAAGAGACTTTTTGAATTGTGACATGTTGCATGTGAGATTTGTACGCATTGTTGGTTTGGATCTGTGAAAAGTGAATAAAAAGTGAGAGAGAGACTTTGGACGTTGAGTAATACTTCTACTGCTGTCATTGGATGTGATGAACCACGTGGCTTGTGACAAGCCGGAAGTGAAGCATTCACTGGCGAATAACAAAACATTCGAGACTACCTTCCAGTTCTTCTATTAGGACTAACAAACCAACAACCTGGGGTCCTGGGGTGGCTTCGTAAGTTCGTTTGTATTACCCGACAGTTGTACCCAGGTTTTAGCAAGATGCTGAATGCCGCCGCCGCGGAGAGGAACAAGGAGCCAATCCTGATGGTACTGCGGGGATGCGTGAACACCGACAGGCGGCTGCAAGCGCTCGAGATCTCCTCCGGTACAGGACAACATGTCATACATTTCGCTGGAGCTCTACGGAACATTACTTGGCAGCCATCAGAGTACGATCAGCGGTCTTTAGTCAGGTATTATTTAGTTTATTACTTCAGTAAACTCAACGACCGACACTGCAAAATTCTGTTGACTCTACACGAATCGGGAGCGGCGTTAATGATGTAGGCGCGCTTGTGTTGTTGGACTACAATACACCGTGCTTCTCTCTTTTCAGTATAGAAGCCTACAGATCTCACTACCAACTGAACAATGTGAAGCCCGCCATCCACCTGGATGCTTCTCAGAGTCATGATCACTGGGGAGGGATCCAACCAGAAAGCCTCGATCTGGTCCTCAACATCAACATGATCCACATCTCTCCCATGGCTTGTACAGAGGCACGTATCTAGGTGATGGGTCTAATTTTAGACCATGGACTTTTCCTGCAATGACTGTACCAGTACATATGCCCACAAGCCACTTTACACCCACACAATCTAACGATATCCAATACAAGAGCTTCAACAAAATTTTGCTTCGACACCAATAAGGAGAATAACAATCCTCGTTTTTAGCCAAGTACATTAAAACCCACAATGAATTTATCGAAAGTAGTTAGTCACTCTGGTACTTTTACTAAAAGACACTTAAACAAAGGATCATATTTTGTAAAACGATGTGTGCAAAAACTGTTTTGTACAATATAAAAACAAAGTGACACATTCATTCATTCATTTTCCGATCCGCTTTTATCCTCACAAGGGTCGCGGGGGGTGCTGGAGCCTTTCCCAGCAGTCTTCAGGCAGTAGGCGGGGGACACCCTGAACCGGTTGCCAGCCAATCGCAGGGCACACAGAGACGAACAACCATCCGCGCTCACACTCACACCTAGGGACAATTTAGAGTGTTCAATCGGTCTGTCATACATGTTATTGGAACGTGGAAGGAGCCGGGATCGAACCCACAACCTCTGCACTGTGAGGTCGACACGCTAACTAACCACTGGGACACTGGGCCGCCTAAGTGAAACAATATAAAGAAATAAACTTGGTTTTCTAAAGTGTAATTAAATGTAAATATTTGTGAGCTGACTATTTATGAAAATGTGGCTGCGAATGAGCCATTCTGAATTTTGGCCTTGAAGTGTATGGGTTGGGGATACTCAGCCGCTTACTTGGTTGAGACAGGGACGCTCTGCCCCCCAAAAAATGGCTTTATTCAGCAAGACAAATCATGTGTATAAAGTCTTCTATAAGTCTGATCTTTGGCCTATTTTGACAACTGGTAATAAGTAATACTTGACATCCTTCTTGGAATTTTCAAAGAAGTTCTTATCTTTTGAATGCTTTCTGCTCCCTCTCATGATGTAAGACCTGCTTTTTTTCATTCTAGGGTTTATTTAAAGGGGCTGGAGTGGTGTTGAAGCCACAAGGTCTACTGTTGACATATGGGGTGAGTTTAAAACCACTTGAACATCTCATACATGTGCGTTGCCTAAAATTATGGCAGCCCCCGCCCCACCCCCCCAAAAAATCAACCCTAATTTGTGATACTATTTCTGCCATGCTCTCCAGCCCTATGCAGTGAACGGTGGCATCACACCACAAAGCAATGTTGATTTTGACTTAAGCTTACGACAGAGGTAAGGTGGCCTTTCATCTTTATGTGCATTGTTTTGTGGAATTATGTCACTGTGAGAGACACAAGTACATGTTAAATCCACGTGTCCAAGAATGAAACATTTTAATTTACAGGAACCCAGAGTGGGGCCTCAGGGATATCTCCCTCCTCAAATCACTTGCAGAAATACATGGTTTGTTCCTGGAAAAAATTGTAAGTTCGCTTTCTTAAGTGTATACCTTTTGTTTTCTCTGTGTCATGTTAATGCGAATGTTTTCTGTGTTAGGTTGACATGCCAGCCAACAACAAATGTCTGCTGTTCAGGAAGGAGAGTTTGGTGTGAAGTGTCTTGTCCTCCTTTTGCTGAGCGGATCACAGCAGGATGAATAAAAGCGCCTTAAATTAACTCAAAGCTCAGACACGTTGCCAAAATACTCCAATAATTTAGACATGACAATAAAGAAACAGCCAGAATGATTGTATCATATATCTGTAGTACACTTGCTATATTCCTGATTGCACTCATGAGTAAAAGTAACTCGTGGCTTATCCTGATTTAGTACATTTTATTTATGTATTTAAATATGTATGTGTGTGTGTGTGTGTGTGTGTGTGTGTGTGTGTGTGTG